AACTCACAGAGATCCACCTGCCTCTGTCTCCTGAGTGCCACCTGGCCAGTATAACATCTTGAGTGAGGATTTCCCCAATGCTGTACTGTGCTTACTATATCTCAATTTTTCAATTTTTTTTTTCTTATTCTGGAGTCCTAGGTGAGTGTTTTGTTTTTATTTTTTTCTTGCAGGTGGGATAATGTTTTTATTCTTCTAGACTGAAGTTCTTGTTTATTGTGTGCACGGTAGAGTCACTCATTCCTGTTTAATCTGTTTTCTTTTAGTTCAGTAAGTGCTTTCTGTGCTATCTCTTACAAATATGGTACTGCCACTTATAAACAGATTTAAATTTATTATGTTTTTAAAGATTTATTTTTATTGTATGTATATGAGGGTTCTGTGTCCCATGTGCATCGATATCTGAGGAAATTATTTAAAGTCTGAAATCTGGCAGGGAGAGGGATTTTTTTTTTTCTTAAGGCAACTTTGGATATCTTTATTTTTCTAAGAATATGAATAATTTTTAGCCGGGTATCATGGTGTTCAAAACAAAACAAAAAAAATATTCTATACTGCTTTCTCACTGAATTCCACAGAGGATTTTCATTTAATTAAATGAAAAGGATTTTGGATTCTCTAGAGCCCTTTAATCAAGATTTTTGTTGTTCTTATTTTATTTGTTTTGAGGTAGGGTTTCTATGTTGATAGCCCTGGCTGTCCTGGAACTCTGTAGACCAGGCTGGCCTTGAATTCACAGAAATCCACTTGCCTCTGCCTCCCAATTGCTGGAATTAAAGGCATGTATCATTATCCCTGTTTCTTAATCAAAATTTGTATATAATGCAAAATTAAATCAGTTAAAGTGTTCTTACAAGGTTGCTATAGAAGTTATTGGCTGATGAGCAGTTACAATTGATATGTAAATTTTCCCTCTCAAGTAACACAGGCTGGCCTGGAACCCGCTATGTAACTGGAAGATGGCCTTAACCCATGATCCTCCTGCCTCTACACACCAAGTGCTGAGGTTATAGACATGCTTGCCTTGAACATAGTTGTGAGCCTGCTGTGTGGTGCTGGGAACTGAACTCTAGTCCACTGGGAGATCAGTAGTATGCTCTACTTCTCCAGTCCCGCGGCTACCTTTCTTCACAGTTTCTAAATTCTTTATTACCTTCTTTTTAGTTAGTATCTTATTGCTTAGATGAGGCTGACCTTGAATCCTCTGCCCTCTTTCCTTAACCTTTCAAGTGTGGAGATGCCATTAGATATGTACCACCACATCCAGCTCTGCAGCTTTGTTTGTTTGTTTGGATTTTGTTTGTTTATTCGATGTTCAGAGGCAGGGTTTCTCTGTGGCTGTCCTGGAACTGGCTTTGTAGACCAGGCTGGCCTCAACTCACAGAGATCCACCTGTCTCTGCCTCCTGAGTGCTGGCATCAAAGGCATGTGCCACCACCATCCTAGCCTTTTTTTTTTTTTTTGGAGATTTGTTATTTTTATGTGTATGAGTGTTGCCTGCAGATGTTTAGGTACCAGGTATATGCCTGGCACCTTTGGAGACCAGTAGAAGGCGTTAGACCAATGAAGCATTTCTTCATCCTTTTCCTTCTGATTATTTGAGAAGGGAAAAGAGGAAGGAAGAAATGGAAGAAGGATGAGAATATATATTTACATAATGCTTATTTTGCCATATTAACCTTTTTTCTTACCCTCCTCCCCTCTCCACCCATATGTCCTGGCTTCTCAGTGGTATTTTACTCGATAGTGAATCTTTTCGTGGACATTTGTTATTCTTAAATGATGTCACAGCACTCTGTTTATATTCATTTTATGTTCTTTTATTTTCTTTCATGAATTAAATACTGATAATAAGTTATTGAGTGTATATTTCTCAATTGATAAATTGTCTGGCTATACAGAGGGTATGTTTCAATCATTTAAATGAAAATTTATATTTTCCTACCCTTCACCCATACCAGCTATTACCAGGTTATAGTTTTACCACTTTTTGCTTGTTTGTTTGTTTTTCGAGACAGGGTTTCACTGTGTAGCCTTAGTTATCCTGCACTAGCTTTGTAGACTGGGTGGTCTTGAATTCACAGAGATCCACCTCCCTGTGCCTCCTGGAGGGCTAGATTAAAGGCTTGCCCCACCACGCCTGGCAAGTTTCATCACTTTTATGGCTAATTTTATGATAGAAATTTTGTAAAATTTCCATTTTCTTATAAATTTACATTTTAAAACAAGACAGATTTTTAAGAAATATGTACTCTTCCTCAAGTTAGGGATGATGAATTTTCAGTGCTGATTGTTTGAGGAGAGGGACTTTATGCCAAGTGTGGGGTGGAACATATCTGGCATTGCTTTGGATAAGGACGGTACATTATGTGAAGATGAGCAGGGTACACATTATGTATGCATATTTAATGGAAACTTGTTTCTTCACCCTTTTATATCTCTTTTCCAATTAGTACTATGATATACCTTGCTTCTCTTTGCTAACAGAGCAGTCTTTTCAGTTAAACATTGTTATTAAGGGTTTCTGCTCTGGATGCAGGGGTAACTGAGTTTGTTACCTTCCAAAGAAAAAGCCTGCATTTGTATATTAGTAGTGTAGCTTCTAGATTTGTGTATTTAAAAAGTATCTGTGGCCAGTCTGCTCTACAAAATGAGTCTAGGACAGCCAATACTACACAGAGAAACCCTATCTCGGAAAACAAAACAAAACAAAGTATCTGTGAAAAATATTTTCATTTTTTTTTTTAATTGGTTTTATGGAACAGGGTTTCTCTATGTAGCCATGGCTTTCCTGGACTCACTTTGTAGACCAGCCTGGTCTGGAACTAACTCATGGAGATCCATCTGCTTCTGCCTCCCTGAGTGCTGGGATTACAGGTGTGCATGCCCCACTGAGCCTGGCTGTGCCATTTTCTTGAAATAAAACGTTTCAGAGGTTGAAATATGTCTCTCTGTAAGAAAGGATTTCTTTATAGCCAGGTGCAGTGGGGCATGCATATAGTCCCAGCACTCAGGGAGGCAGAGGCAGGCAGATCTCTGAGTTTCAGGCTAACCTGGTCTACAGGGTGAGTCCAGGACAACCAGGGACACACAGAGAAACCCTGTCTCAAAAAATCAAAAGGTAAAAATAAAAACAATTCTTTACTATGTATTTTGCTTGAATCCTTTCACAAACCCTTTCAAGCAGAGGCAGAGAAATCCCTGAAAGGGAATGATCTTAGCTTGGTGTGGTCTAAGCAGTTACCGGTCCCACCGTTTAGAGTAACATACACCCAGAAGGTAACACTATTTGAAAAGACTATCTTGGACTGGAAACTTTGGTCAACAGGCAAACTTCAGCAGATTGCTGAAGTGCTAATTGTAGTCAGCTTTTCAGAAAATGTACATCCCCAAATTGATTTTTCTGTTCAGTAAAGTTGTAAATAAGCTCTCATCAAGATCGTGTGTCTGTGTACATGTGCACACCCGCACCCACACCGCGTCTCCTAATCTGTGGGAGCCAGAGGAAAATGTTGAGCGCCTCCTTTCAGCCCTCTTTTCCCTTTCCTTTCCTTTTCCCTGGCCGGTCTCTCACTGAACCTGGAGCTTGCTGATCTGGCTAGTCTAGGTTGATCAGCGAACTCCAGCTTCCCTCTTTTTTCTGCCTCCCAAGCACTGATGTTACAGGTGCTGCCATGCCTTGCTTGTTTATCTGTTTTCTCTTTGTTGTTGTTGTTGTTGTTGCCAGGGCTACTGAATGGGTTAAAGGCCAGCTTGGGAAACAAGTGCCTGCTCAAAAAAAATCAATTTGTTACCAAGCTTATGTAACCTCAGGAAACTTAATTGGTGGAAACGCAGAGAATAGAACCAGAGTTGGAGTAAAATGCTTACCTTTTAAAAGCAAAACACTGAAGCGCAAAGCTCTGGGTTTGATGCACACAAGCATGCACACATGCAGCCTGAAACAAAACAAAACCCACAACTACCAGAGTAGAAAGCACAGAAAAAGACTAACACTAACATCAACTGATTTTCTACAAGTTGCACATTTGCATCAGGAATTCAATAGGGCAAATAATGCTGAAGAGTTAGGTATCCATTTCCAAAAACAAAAAAAACTTTGGCCTATTTTTAATTTTACTTATTTTCAAAGGCAGGGTCTTATGTAGCTCAGGCTGGTCTCAAACTTACTTTATATAGTTGAGGAAGATCATGAGCTTAATAATTTTCTTGCATCACCCCCTGTCTTGAAACATAACAGAGGACTCCTAGTCTTTAGTGATGGTCTCCTGGAATGCCTATTGGAGGAGTATCCTAAGTTCTTGGATCATTTCAGTTGAAGTGTGCTTATTTACCCTGAGATGCTTTGTGGATTTTTTTTTTTTTTTTGGTATAGAATTTGTTAGTAATCTTTGACAGTTTATAGGGCAGAAACACTTAGCTGGGGTGGTGGTGCTGTACTTAATCCTAGCACTTGGTAGGCTGAGGCAGGTAGATCTCTTTGAGTTCCAGGCCATTCTGGTCTGTAGAGTGAGTTCCAGGAAAGCCAGAGATCCACAGAGAAAAACCCTGTCTCACCCTCCAACAAACAAACAAACAAACAAACAAACAACCACTTATGCCTTCCTTAGGGCAAAGAGATGGCTCTGTGGCTAAAAGTTGTTTTTGCTCTAGAAGTAGCCCTTGGTTTGCTTCCCAGAATTCACACATGGTGGCTTTACAAGCATCCATCATAACTCCAGCTCCAGGAGTTCCATCTCCCTTGTCTGAACTCTTTGGGCATGAGACACATATACATACATACAGGTAAAACTGTTAGGTACATAAATAAATCTGAAAAAGAAAGGCCTTTCTTGTGATAGTAATGAAGGTATGAGTGGGACAGGAATTAATGTGCTTGCTTTTAGTGAAGATTGACAGTCGTGGATGGTTTTGATGTGCTTTTTCCATAGCCAGTGATTTCTTTTTTTAATTTTTTTCTTTGTGCTACAGTTAGTGATTATTCTTTGTAATTGTTGCAGGTACTCCATCGTCTAAACCAACACTTCTAGCCAATGGTGATCATGGAATGGAGGGGACTAACACTGCAGGTAAGTGGTTTCTGGGCTTCTTTAAAGAGGAGTTTCCATAGCCAACATCATAGCAAGCGTCTGTGAGTATTATTAACAGAAGTGTATAAATTACTTCTGAGAACATTGCTGTTCTTGTGGGATGTTTTTAAATACAGGGCGTCTCTCAACAATAGAGAGAGAAAAATAAGTTTGTTTTCATAGTCCTTGAATGTTTGTTGCAAGTGAACCACGTAGGAATTGGATCAATCTTAAAAGGACTCTCGTAGATGCCCAAAGCCAACGCCTTGCCATGTGAGAGGCCTTTCTTTGCTCTTTGCCCCTGAGAGGCAGGTCTCTCACCTGGGTGTGCTCTGCACTTAGTTTCCTCTTCAAAAGTTGGTATTAGGAGGCACACAGCTGTAAGTTAAAGTGCTTTGCTTTGTGTTTTTTCTTCAATTTTTTTCTCTCCCTTAATCTTTTCCCTTAACTGTTGCTTTTGAGAATTGATTCTAACTTTAACTTCTAGTCCAGACTAGGGCTTTGATAGTCTTTTAGCACTGAGTTCCTTTAGGGTTTACCTCATAACCATCATGAATTCCCTCACCCTCAGTGTGTTTATAGTGAGCAAAATTGCCAGAGCCACAGTAGGAGTTTGCCCACATGGGATGTGCTGTATTATGTAAAACTTTTCTTAGGTATCCTGCGTGAGAGTCATGCATTATATTTTTGTAAATAACTGCACTTAATTTGTAGTTGTGATCAGGCTGATTATGTTAACCCACAGGAGTTTGGCTTTTAGAACTCAAGTAGAGTACAGTGTTCTTTGCATCAGAAAATTCTCAACTCTGGGGTGCAGCGTTTGATTCACATCAGTACATTGCAGGCAAGCACAAGATGTACTTTTTTTGTTTCAATTTTTGTATACTTAAGCCATGAAAAGCCTTCCTTCTAACCACCGTAGAGTTGTAGTTCTAACTCTTCTTTTAAATTAGCCTTTTATTAGCAATAGCGGTTTTCTTAAAATGTGCTCTTTTTATTCTTTAAATTTGTTATATGCATGTGCTTGCATGAGTGTGTGCAGGAGTCTGAGCAAGCCAGAAGAATGTATTGGATTTCTTGGAACTGGAGTTACAGGCAGTTGTGAGCCACCATGTTGGTGCTGGGAATTGAACCTTGGTCCCCTGGAAGAGCAGCAAGGGCTCTTAACTACTTGCTGACCCATTTTTCCAGCCCCAACCCTTTATTTATTAGGACATGTTGTAGAATAAATTTAGTGGCTTAGGCCTATAATCCCAGTACTTGGGAGGCAGGGGCACAAGGGGGAGGCCCAAGTTTGGGGCCTTCACTATAGAGTGAATTCAGGGTAGGCCTGCGTGGGTAATTTATTAAGACCTTATTTCAAAATAAAACACTCTGGATGTAGTTTAGTGATAGTTTACTTGATCCTAGGTCCAACTTCCAGTACTAACCCCTAAAAAAGGGTACAGATCTATATACCTCAAAGTAATTGACATCTAGGTTCTATTTTTTGTGGTTGTAAGTTTTACTCCATAAAATTAACTTTTTTATTAGCAACTTATAAATACTGTACTTGGAAACAAGTGTCATGTTATCTTCCAGTTTTGTGAATTGGCTTTTTTTTTTTTTTTTTTTACTTTGATAGTTGTACTTTTTTATTTCTTTATTATGTATACATGTACATCTGCAGGGCAGAAGAGGGCACCAAGTCTTCTTATAGATGGATGTGAGCCACCATGTGGTTGCTGGGAATTGAACTCAGGACCTCTGGAAGAGCAGACAGTGATCTTAAACTCTGAGCCTTCTTTCCAGCCCCAACAGTTGTACTTTTATTTATATATTGATTATTTCTGCTTTGAAAGGAAAGATAAGATTTGCAAGTATTCCTATGATGAAAGGGTCAGCAGTTTAAACATGAGTGCATTTAGCCAGCTGTGGCGGTTCACACCTGTAACTTCCAACACTTGGCAGGCAGTTTGAGGTGGGCTAGTTTGGATCATATAACAAGTCCCCTTTGCAAAAAACCAAACCAGGACTGGAGAGGCAGCTCAGTGGTTAAGAGCTATAGGTTAGGAGCTTGTTTTTGCACAGACCCACATTTAATTTCCAGCAGTGACATCCATGCTGGGTGGGTAAAAACCATTTTGTTATCTCAGCTCCAGGGAATCTGCCTCGGGGCTTAGGCTGCACATGTACTCATGGATGCACGTACACAAACACACACACACACTTTAACACACAATTAAAAACAAGAAAGTAAAGCAAGGCCAGTATTTATAACCTGGAGTTAGTGCTGGAAGAAGGAAGAATTGAATCAAATCTACATGAATAGTACATCTTCTACAAGATGTCAAACTCTGACCACAGAAGACTTAGTGGGTTTTGGTATTGTTTCATTGGGGTGTGGGGAGATAGCATGGGATCTCTTGGAGCTGCAGTCACAGGCAGTGGTAAATCATCTGATGTGGGTGCTGGGAATCAAACTTAAGTACTCTGGAAGAACAGCAAGAGCTCTTACCCACTGAGCTATCTTTCCAGCCCTGAGACTTAGTGTTTTAAAAAATTTTAATGTTACATACAGTAGTTGGGGCAGCATTGAAACATCAAAAGTTTCCTGATGACAAAGGGGAACCCAGCTCTTTAGTATCTTGCCTGTTGGCACCATAAAAGCAGGGCTTCCTGGTTTTGGATAACTTTTCTTCCTGAGGTAAAAACTCAGTGTTCACATCTAGATTGTTTGGGTTTCTTGAACTGCCTTTAAAATTGGGTGTTTTACTGAGAGTATACAGATTTCGCTGGAGACTGGAAGAAATAGAGTGGGTGGAGCGTGCATGTTTTGGGGAGCATGGTGTGACTTGCTTCTCATGTGGCCATCACTAACTAGAACACCTGGCCCAGTGCCTCTGTGCAAACTGGCCTCTCAGTTTTCCTCAGAATGTAGAGCTGAGAGAAGTGCAGCTCCACTAAACAGCATAGTGGACTTTAGGAACGTCTTGCTGTATTGAACTTGCTGTTTACTAATGACCTGTGCTTTTCCGCCCTTTCCTTCCCCTTCCTGTTTCTTCCTCCCTTTCTATTTTTCTCCTCCTAGAAGCCTAGAGTGTCTCTCAACACTGGGGCTGCCGCAACACCAGACCAGTGATCTTTCCTAAGCACCGTTACACTTCTAAAACCTTCAGCATTTTGCAGCTTTGCTTTTCCTTCCTGGACACCATGTAGAAGAAGCTGAGGGTAGTTCTTCGGGTCCTATTTCTGCTGATGCCTGAGCAAGCCACCTGCCTCTTGTGTTCTGCAGGGCTTGATGGAACCTCCTTTCCCTTTGTGAGCACAATGTGCAAAATGAATTTGATTTTAGTATTTTTATAAAGGTCATCAAATGTCATTTCTTTTCCTTGTTCTTTTAAATTATTTTATCATTTAATTCAGTCTTACATTTTTATTTAAACATTTTTAGTTGGCCTTTTCTTTTCTTTTTTGCATATTCGGTGTGAATCAGCATACTATAAAACTAAAATGAGAATCTGTGCTTTCATAAAGGGGTTGAGGCCACCGAGCTGCAGTGAATTTCGCTTTCCTGCCCCTCATTTTGTTTTCCTTCTGTGAGCTTGCTTTTAGCAAAGATTAGGCTTTAAGGCTACTGGTGTTTCTTTCCACCTTACTAAAAATTTGAATTAATGTTTTCTAGTTGCAAAATTATTTCTCTGAATGAAATTGTTATTTGTTCTGGGTGTTGTGGTGTAAGTACCTTTAATCCCAGTATTCAGAGGCTAGCTGATCTCTGTGAGTTCCAACCAGCCAGGGCATCACAATGACACCCGGGCGCTTTATTTATTTATTTATTTGTTTGTTTGTTTGTTTATTTATTTATTTATTTATTTATTTATTTTTAAGTGTCTTTGTTAATTGCAAAATGGGCTGCAATTTTTTATCATAAGCTATATTACCTATTTGTCTAGACTTTGATTCTTCTGAAAATTTGACAACACAATTATTGTGTATTGATTTAAAAAATCATAAAATGTAGTCATAAAGTATCCAAGTAAGAATTGGGAAGTTAAAGAAGTGGAAACAGTTCTAATGTTCTTGCCTCTTGTTTCTCCCGAACAACAGAGAAGCAAGCCTCAAAACACTTGAGCAGCACTGCCCACTTAGCAAGCTTCTAGAGCAATCCAGCTAAGGCCTGTGGCCCGACAGGCCCTGACCCTGACCCCACAGCCCACCTTCTGACTGTGCACTCAGGCTGGCCTTGGACATCTGGGCTCAAGCATTCCTTTTACTAGCTGAGACTAAGGCCTGTGCCTGGCTTCTGGTGAAATTGCTTGATTACTCAGGAAGTGTGTTTAGGACTAGGGTCTGTTTGAGCTCTGAATGGCTTTTTTTCTACAACATTCCAGTAGAATTGGTGGATCACATGTGAAGTCCTATGTGTAAAATCCTTTACCATGGAACAAGAATTTACATTCTTAATCTGTCTCATTGGTTCTTTTTTTGTGCATTTTTCCAAAGAAATAAGTAAAATGAAAGTAACATAAAACCTAGAACCATATAGGATAAGTACTATGAAACCTTTGATTAAGCTTTGGGTTTTTAGGAGTAGAACAGAAATTCCAGGCCATATTTGAGATCTTAGAAGAATTCTGATATAGGAACTGGAGTGTGAATATGCTCTTTGTTTCAGTCTTTTGGTTACAGAAGGTGGTATTCGGCCTCTGAGGTACTGTTTACTAGATATTAAAAGAAGTAGCTTATGCTATATTTGAGAGTTACAGTGCATATTGTTTTTAATCTTCTGACATAAAACTACTTTTGAAACCTGTGTGTAGTGGCTTATACTTGAGATTTCAGACTCCAGTAAGAAGAGTCAGGGATTTTGAGTAGTAGGAGGCCGGCCTGAGTTACATGAAACTGTATCTTAAGAACAAACAACTGAGGGCTGGAGAGATAGATGGCTCAGAGGTTAAGAGCACTGGCTGCTCCTCCAAAGGTCCTGAGTTCAATTCCCAGCAACCACATGGTGGCTC